TTTGTGTGTCTGTGAATTTTCTGCATTTCTTTGTGGTCATTTTGCATCTTTTATTCAAGTGTGTGTCTCTTAGTGGTGATTTTGAGTCGATTGGTGATCGTTTTGTGTCTTTAGGTGGTGATTTTTGTGTGTCCTTGTGGTAGTTTTGTGTATTTGTGGTCATTTTGGAGACTTGGTGGTAATTCTGTGTATCTTTAAGGTGATTTTGTGTGTCCTTGTGGTGGTTTTGTGTCTATTTGTGGTCATTTTGTTTTTCCTTTTGTCTTATAATTATGACATTTATCACCACACTTACAGCCACAGAAACAGAACCACATCAGGCTGAAATAAAGCACAATCCTCTTCTTAACTTCTACATTTAACAAAACAACAATGGAAGTTGCCGGCGCCCGGTTTGTGCAGCTTTGAGTCATTTCACAGCACAAATCGTAGGATTCAGGCTCCATCAGGTGCTGCTTTATGCTTTGTTATGAGTTTCATTTTCACTAAACGTCTGATTAGTTCGGTGACGCAGCAGCAGAAGAAGGAAGCCGACGGGGAGCAGATTTCTTCCACATTTTTATTTTTTTCTTCATGCAGCTGAGAGGAGTGTGTTGTGTGGCTCTGCACACACAGACACACACACAGCGTTCTCCTGGATCAGCAGTGTTTTATATAGAAGCCGGTTCTCGCTGTGTTCCAGTTCACTGACAGATTCTGCAGCAGAATCAGGACAAAGTGTGACTCTGTGTGTGTGATTCAGCCACATTTGTGCGACTCTATTCAGAAGCTAAACTATATTTAACCGCCTTACATCATGTGACATCATTTCTACAGTAGCTGCAGCCTGACCTCGTCCAGCGCCGAACACAAAGACCCAAAACACGCCGATCGGGTCGTTTCTCATCGAGTCCAGTCACGATGGACGAGTTTTAGTGACGGTGTGTGTCTGTCTGTGGTCATTCTGTGTTAATTTGTGGTCGTTTTGTTTCCTTAGTGGTCATTTTGTGTGTGATTGTCGTCTTTCTGTGTGTCTGTTTTAAATATTTTGTTCAGTTTGTGGTCACTTTGTGTTTTTGCGGTTGTGTTGTGTCTCCTTGTGGTGGTTTTGAGTCTTCTGGTGGCCATTTTGTGTGTATTTGTGGTCGTTTTGTATCTTTAATGGACATTTTTTGTCTCTTTTTGGTCGTTCTGAGTGTCTTTGTCGCCATTTTGTTTGTAGTTGTCATTTTTTTGTTTCTCTAATGGTCATTTTTTGTCTATTTGTGGTGGTTTTGTGTTTGATTGTGGCCATTTTGTGTTGACTTGCGTTCATGTTGTGTCTCCTCGTCATCTTTATGTGTGTCTTTGTGGTTATTTTGGTCACATTGCGGTTGTTTTTAGTCTCGTTGTGGTCATTTTGTGTGACTTTTTGGTAATTTTGCGTGTCTTTTGTGTTAGTTTATTGTTGTTTTGTGTCCCTTTTTGGTTGTTTTGTGATCACTTTGTGTCTTTGTGGTGGTTTTGTGTCTTTTGGTGGTCATTTGTGTTCCTTTTTTGGTAATTTTGTGTGTCCTTGAGGTGGTTTTATGCATCTTTGTTGTTATTGTGTGTCTCTTTTGTGTTTCCTAGTGGTCATATTGTTTCTCTTTGTGGTATTTTTGTGTCTCCCGATAGTCAGTTTTTGTTTTGTGTATTCTTTGCGTGGCTTTGTGGTTGTTCTGTGTTAATTTTGTGTCTCTTTGTGGTCTGTTTGTGTCTTTAGGTGGTCATTTTGTGTTACTTTTTTGGTAGTTTTGTGGGTCTTGTGGTGATTTTCTGTGTCTTTGTGTTGCTGATGGTCCCATAAAGATGTGAATGGTTGTGAAACTGCCTGGTGAGGGAGTTCAGATTCATGTCTCCAGCCCTGATGCTCCTCACCAGACAGTTCTGTCAGCATTTAAACCTAAATTAAAGTGAGTGTTGGGTTGCTGACGGGTCTGGAGTCCTGTGATGTGACAATAAGGTTAAATGTCCTGGACTCAGCACCAGTCAGAGCGTTTTGGATGAAACACCTTTAAGATCGTGTCTCTTTTAACTGAAGTGTTCAGAGATGCAGCTGTGGATGAACTTTGTGATATTTTAGAAGGTTTTTTAACCCGACTGAAGCATTCAGCTGAATAAATAAGACACAGAAAACGGTATCCGATGCTCCCGGACACACCGACCCCAGCACCCGACCTCAGTGGTTTTAAAACCCTGGCTGCCGTCCTGGACTCCCAGAATCCATCCTTTAGAATAACAAGTTTAATCTCTTGAAAAGTGCCTCCAAAAAGAGTTTTGTTCCGTGCCTGAGACCGGCGGCTGCGCTCGGCTTGACCTCGGGTTGCGTACAATTGATTACAGCATTGACAAGTTGTTACATCAGGAAGCAGCAGAAAAACTCCCCGACTCTCCGGCTGCAGCCTCTGCAGTCAGATGCACTTATTCACTGCTCATCTGTATGCTCGGGATGTTCCAGACAGCCGGGCGTTTGCCAAAACATGACTAAACACACAGTCACGGTGTCTGTGCTGGGCTCTGAATCCCTGCATGTTGCGTTGGTGACAAATCACTTTAAAGCCCAGCTGCCGCCTCAGATACCGAAACCTCTGTATGCACAGCTGGACCGGCGCATGAACTTACGTTGAGGCCTTTTTGGAACAGCGGCTGTCCCATCACGTTAGCCAGCATCCGGATCAGCGCCGCCCCCTGCAGGCGGTGCAGAGAAGCACACCGTCAGACATAATAAACACCATTTTTCAACTCCAGCAAACATTTACATGATGCAAAACACGAGAGAGTAAATCAGGATTCGTTTCCATTTGCTGCTTTGGAGTAAATAACTGTCGACTAAAGGAGGCGCTACAGGCTACGTGGCTAATAAACAGAGTAGAACAAGATGGGAACAAAGCGAGTTTGTTGCTAACCGCTAAAAATCCTTTAAGAAGAAGATGCAAGACGCTAAACTTTGTCCATCTACAAGAGAAAACTGTCCAGGAATTGTTCATCTTAATCAAAAAAGTAGTATTATGTTTTAATGTCAGCTGGTGTCGGCCATGTTTGATCATGTCCGAAGACGAAAACAACGAATGTAAGTTAAACGTTCTCTACGTTACAACTTTTAGAGGAAAAGTTTCCATTTCCTGTGATGCTATTAACATGTTTACAAAACTTTTTCTCATGTGATACTACATAATTTAGTAATTAAGTAATACTCAGATTACAGCATTGTGGGGGTTTAGCTAGCAACAGGCACCACAAAGACTTTTATCTTGAAACTTTGCATTTAATTACACAACGTGGACAGAAATGGACGTCGTGACCTCCGAACAGAGAACACAATATATTTTTTGAAGCCATGGAAACAGCTAATGAAGACAAAACAGGTCAGTGCTACTTTAGTGAACCTTTTTTAAAAAAGTAGGTTCTAGTCAATGACAGGAACAGTGCCGTCATGTTAGCTAATAACAAAAGATGTTTAAAAAAAAGAGTAAATGGTTTGTTTTCAGGTTAGCGACTTTGGCGAGTTAGAACCACAGTTTTGGTTTAAGCACATGAATTCAGATCATAAAGAACAGTTTGTTAAATCTCTTGTTTCAACCCCTACATGAGCCAGTGGGTTTAAAAGGCCTGTTTTCTTTAAAAAAAACAAAAGAAAAATGCCCAAATGACACCATCTGCCAGAGCTAGAAACTATAAAAACAGGGAGAAACATCAGATTTTTAACTTTCTGGTGTTCTGTCATGTTTGACGAATGGAAAGAACTAAAATTAAACTTGAAAGTGGGATTTTTGTCTTATTTTATACTTTATTTTAAATAAGAACCATCTGGACAAAACCAATCTGGTGAAAAACGGTCTTACGTGAAGCTACATTTGACACCAGCATCATCTCCTAGATTTGATTTATTCTGTGGAGAAACAGCGCCACATTTCAACCACTACTAATATTTATAGTAGGACAATAAAACATTCAATAAATATACTAAAGTTACTCAAATCAGCTGATTCTGAAGGGATCAGGTGGGAACTTCTGTCCATATTTGGTTTATTTCATACATAATGACTCCATTGGACAGCATTAATGAATTCAGCAGCACGAACAACTTTCTGGACTCACTTTCTTGTAGGCGATCCAGTCGAAGACCCGGTCGATGTCCGTCGCCTGCTCCACCTCCTGGGAGATGGGATGGGAGGAGCTGAGGCCGTCCAGCAGCATCACTTCGTGCAGGACGTCGGTCAGGAAACGCTGCTTCTCCTGAAAACACAAAGCGTCGGCGTTCATCACTGGATGACTGACGGCGTATCGACGTCCGACCCTCTGGAGACCCGCTGTGACACTTAGCGGATAAACATGTCCAGAGCTGGATTCATGGTCCGTCCAGGCCAAATGCTGGACGGTCGGATACCGCTGCAGACGCCTACGACTTCACTAAAGCAGGGTTTATCTAAGACAGAGGAATCTTTGGCACACCCAGGACAAAAACCACGAGCCAAAGAATAATAAACATTTTAATTTACTCATGCATAATCGACTTTTTTGTTCATAAAACGGTCAGAAAAAAAAAATAAAATGAATAGATTTATGTCAAATAACGCAACACAGACTGTACAAAGACTGATCTCACTGTCCAGATTAACTAACTGAATGCATTGTTACAAGACAATAACATCTAATTTACTGATTCAAATCGAACTTTTAGGTTTCAAACATTATTTCAATGGGTAGAAATGAGATTAGCTGATATAAAAGGAAAGTTTTCTTCACCTTCAGTCCACTCATCTACCTGCTTCCTGACACTGGAGCAACACAGATGTCATTACAGGAAAGCAAAGTTTGTGGCAGAATGCTAAAGAAGCAGATTTTGAATAATTTTCCAAATTTCCAGCATTATCATTCTTTTACCAATTATTTGATCCCTGATAGTCATGTGATACAACAGAAATCTACTCCGTGTTGACTTTGTGGTTTTAAGTAATGGAAACGTCATTTTTGATCCCAATTAGTCTTGAACACATGAGCCTTGGTCAGAGTTCATTAACTGTTACAGAAGTCTTAGTCATGGTGCCCGTTGCAAGCTAGACTCCCACAAACAGAAAGAGGCTCCACCTGGTGGAACAAGCAGGTACTACAGCTAAACTCAAAAACATCTTGATACCTCTCCACAATGACTCAACACTTATAACTCATCCATGATTATTAAAAATTGTCGAGAATACGGAAAAAAAAAAAGTTGAAACTTGAAATGACTCAAACCTTTGTCCAAAATGCATCTAAGATGACATAGAATGTGTTCAAAATGTGTCCAAAATGACTCCAAAGGTGCCTAAAATGACTCAAAATGTGTCTAAAATGACATAAAATGTGTCCAAAATTATGTTTGTGTTTAAAACCCTAACCCAAACCCCACCACACAAGTCTTAGTCACGATGCCTGTTACTAGTTAAACCCTCACGGTGCTCTCTTGCGAAAGTTCCTGACCATCTACAGGAAGTTTAAAAAAAACACTTTGGATGCAGTTGTTAAGGACATAAAATGGACAGACTTTAAAACTTTAATGTACTTTAAGAGTGTATTTCATAGAAAACTAGTATTGGATTGGTTCTAGGATGGGACTGGGGGCAACAGGACATCGGTCGGTAAAACAGAAATGATATTGGAGACTTTTGGTTGCTAATTTAACGTCTCCTTCAACACGTCCTGGTTTATATTTACTACATTAATCTTCCATTTAGAGTAAAACAGACGATAAAGCCAGATGTACTCCAGGGTGGTGCTACCTTGCCTTGACGCTCTGTTCCATCTTGTCCATACCATCTCTGGTCTCCACAACGCTGCTGTTTGAGCAGGTAACTGCCGACACTAATCAGCAGTCTTTAGTGGTTTTTGGAATGTGCCGTTTGTTTTGGTTTGCTGCCAGCTCCGGCTGCAGACACACTCCAGTCCAATTAATTATGTTTGGAAATCCAAAGTCAGTCAACAAATTGTCATTTAGCTGAAGAGCCGGATCAGTAAGCAAAGGTTTAGTCGCGCATTCAGTCGACTTTATCTTTGTTTATTGTCACCTCTGTTGTTCATTTCATGTCTTATTTCCATCCTTTTTCCTTCTTATCTAACTTTAGGAGTTTCCCTGATTCATTCCTGTCCTTACCTCCGTCTGATTATTTTAATTATAACGTGTTTCTTTTGACTTCCTCTTTTTTTAATGCCGTCCCTTCAATCCTCCATCTTCTGTTCTCCTTCATTTCCTCCCATTATTCATTTCCTTCTGTCATCTCTCCTCCTCCGGCCGTCTGGTTTCGGCGTTTTAATAGACATCTGCAAACATGTCGAGCTTTAACGAGCTCTGTCTAAATTACCCCCGGGATCAGGCTAAATCCGGAGGAGTGCGGCTCTGTCTAATTCATGGATTACCGTGTTTACTGTGGAGATTTGGTTTTTAATGAACCTCCATCTCGTTAAGCAATGGAATTGTTGGCTTATTAAGTTTTACTCGTTAATGGACGGAATGAACAAGAATCTCCTTTAAAATTAACAATATCTGCAGGGATCTGGCTAATTCTTGGCCCCGACGTAGCTCTGCGTAATTTATGGATTAAAGTAGATGTGGTTTTAATGAATCTGCGTCATGTTTGAACAAAAAGTTTCTGGAGATGTTACGTTTTTAATGAACGAGAGGAGAAACAGAGAAATGTATATTTCACATCGTCTGCTGGGATCAGGCTACTTCTTGGTGGATGTTGGTGCTGATATACAGGCGTCGAGTTTCTGTCTTGTTAAACAGTAAATGTGAAGTCTTAGAGGAACTTCTGGAGAAGAAGCTGCTGAGCAGGGCGTGACTAACTCCTGGATCCGGATACTTTGTTTCTTCTTGCTCGATGTGCACCTGTCTAATACCTGGTGTAAACAATACGTTCAGGATTGACAGACGAGTCGCAGATCTGACTAATATCTGGATATTCTCCTGGTTTAAACAGGAGATGGATCCCTCCTCCAAGGATTTGGCTAATCCTGTGTAATTCCTGGATTAAGGTAGATGTTTCTGGGGATATTAAGTTATTAAAGAAAGAGAAAACTCAGAGATTTTTTTACATTGTCTGCTGGGATCAGGCTTGTTCTTGGTAGACGACTAAATCCCTGAGTGCTGATTGAAATTTTATTTACAATTTCCATCTTGTTAGACTGTAAAGTTTCAACTTTTAGTGAGAGCTGAGCAGGGGAAGACTAATTCCTGGATCTGGATTTACGTGTTTCCTTCTTTCGATCTCAGCAAATCTACAATAAACAGATAAACAGTCGCGGATCCGACTGACTTCTGGATGTTTTTCTGGTTTAAACAGGCGACAGATCCCTCCTCAGGCTAATTCCTGCTTTCATCTCGGAAGCGCCGCAAACACAAACAACAGTCAGGTGAACAGACAGCAGAGGGACTCCACCACAAATCACGCAATTAGTTAATTGGTTTAATGGTACATTTGGACGAAACTAGAACGACTTGGTGAGAAATGGGTCTAAATGAGACATCAGCTCTAATTAACGGACACTTTAAATCACCTGGAGAGAGAACGAGTCGCTCCATCTGGTCCATCTGGTCATTAGGAACCAGATGGACCCACATGTGGAGGGACGGCGGACAAACGGGCCGACACAAACACAGATGGAGGACGAAGCCGCTGAACTTTTCAACGTCTGCTCGTCTCCTTCACTTTCCACTCCGTCAGTCCTCCTCCCGTCTCGTTTCTGTGTCACTTTAAAACTTGGCACGTTTGGCGAACAGACGGCACTCTGAGGAACATCTCAATACGGAACTCACCGTGCCCACGACCGGGAAAATCCTGTTTCCCGATTGGCCGGTGGGTCTGTTCACCTTGAACGTCGCCCGGGTCAAAAGTTCGACTTGTTTTCCGGGAACGTTGCAGCAATGCTGATGAGTCAGACTGAAAACAGAACTGAGTGTTTTTACCAAAGTAGAGTCGCGACTAGACGATTGTGATGAAGAAACAACCAGCAAATTTAGTTTCACTGCAACAATTCCGTCAAAGATCTGACCAGAAGCTTACGGACGGCAACCAAAAGCATCAAACTCGATGACCGAAGGTCATTTAACCAAATATAAACGTTGCTGTTTGAGTATTTTTGACCAGATTATCTCGTATTTCCAAAAGACCTTTAATGAATCAATGAAAGAACCAAAACAACCGTCTCAAAGCTTTGAGTTCCGTACTTGGTTTTTACAAGTCTTCTGTTCACGGCTGTATCGGTTGTATTTCTTTAAGGATCAGCTTTCGACATCACGACCTCGAGGGATTTTGCGACCACTGGTATATTTGTGATTCCTCCTTAAACTGTAGCTGAACATGTTGTAGGTCTGCAGCTACCACTAAGAGAAGAAACAACAGTTTTTACACTGGAAGATCTGCAGTTTACAAACACGAACAAGGCAAATCCGGTCTAGAATCTTTTCTTAAACCAAGAACATGTGCACCGTGAATGTTGGACCGTCAAGGTATAGTTTTCTGTGACGTCTTGAGGCGAGATTTGGCAAAAATGGCTGAAAAACAGGTCCAAAGCCCACGATTGTTACCCTACACAGTGCACTTATTAGTATCTGCTGGATTTGTCTTCCTGAATAGGAGTTCTATGCTGAAGACTCGCGGCACAGACGGAGTTTGACATGTTTACATGATGAAGCAGGAGCTCTGGGAGCAGCACAAGGACACTACTTGGACAAGGATGATGGTCAACTCTAGAGGAGATGTTTGGTTTTTATGGGTGCAGACAACCTTCTTGCAGTAGGTTATGACGGGTAACGCTGTAAATCAAGAAGAAATCAGGAAGTTCTTGGGCGATATTTTGCTTTTGGCACATTTTTCCTCACTGAAGCTCATTTTTCTCTGCAACATAAAGTCCTGCACCTCAATGGAAACACAACAACCATGAAGAAGGTGTGAGAAATATCTTCTGTGTGACGACGCCATAAATCAATAAAAAAAAACACTACGTTGAAGCTGCTGTGTTGTAATTTGCGGTTCGACCTGATGGTGGCAGTGCTGTCTCACTGTTTTAATGCCTAAACTCAGACCTAGTGATGAAGAAGTTTGTCTGTTTGCCTCATTATGATTTCACAAGACGCCACAACAACAAAGAAAAACACACATAATACAGTAAAGTGATGCTGCAGCACCTGAGTGTCGGGTTCAGAGCAGAACCGCATTCTCTTGATTCTGATTATCGTGACTGCAGCTGATTTAGATTTA